GCCTCCGCGGATGGCTTTACCCTCAGCGTCCCTATAGGCAGGGTTGCCCTTGCCGAAGGCCGAGTGTTCCCCTTTTCGGCGTCTTGGGTCATTATGCGGAAGCAGCTGGCCTCCTCGCCTGAGAGCGTGTTCTTTCGGGCCAGCCTGCCCCCACTCACGAGGAAGCCGAGCCTATGGATGTGGCTCTCCTCTGACACGCGGATGGGAACGAGACCTTCCAGCATTCTCATCAGAAGAGGCTGCCGAAGCAGCCTGAGTGGTAGCCGGCGGAGGCGCCTGCGGAGGCTCCTGTTCGATCCCAGGTGGATCGACCACATGAGGCAGGTTTCCCTGCTGGCTGGAGCTCGGCGCAAATGGCGCTTGTGCCGATGGTGATGGTGCTTCAGGCTCGTCGGGATCAAAGTCCACCTCTACCTCCCCGTTGACTTCCATCATGAGGATTGTGGCTTCGTCCTCGCATAGCCCGCAACCATCGCCCTCTTCTTCTTCTGATGTAGAACTGCCAATGATGATGGCCATTGGCGCAGCCGGGACAGGCAGGTTTCCCTGCATAGCCGGCGTCTGTGCGTCGCTCGGCTGTCCCGGGGTAGGCGGCACGGTTGTCGGCTCAGGCTCGTTGCCGAGCACAGGCTGCCCGGCAATGTTGCGCATGGCCGTATTGTTTGGCCATAGTCCCACCGCCTGGAGACCCCATCCTGGCGGAGGAAGAGCCTGACCGCGCATGGCGAGGGCCCTTTCAAGAGCATCACGCCATCTCCCGCGGGAGTATATCACATGTCTCTGCACGTCCTCAGGATGCACGCTGTCGATGAGGGTCAAAGCTGCCAACACTAACTCCGAGTCATCACAGGCGTCGGCATCCTGCAGCATCATGATGCCAGCTTCGATGCTCTCTTGACTCTCGGGATATGCGATGATAAGTATCTCATGCATCCTCATGAGGGTTTGCAGAAGCGTACGTGGTCCGTACTCGCCTGGAGCAAGCGAACCAGGGGGTGCAAATGGGATCTCTGGTTCACCTGCAATGAAAGCTTGAACAAACGCTTGAGACCCCATATCTATAAATTCTTCATTAGTTTGGGGATCGGTTGGCCTGTTTCCAGGCGGGAGTTCAGGTGGAGGTTGGAGGTTGCGTTCAACCTCGGAAGGCGAGGCCTCCACAGTGATGTCCTCGTTACTGCTTTCGTAGGCCATGATGTTGCCTGGGTTCCCGAACATCCAGTCGAAGAAAGAAAGAGGCTGGTTTCCCAGCGTACCGTGATCCACGGGAGTGAGCTCGTTGTTGCCAATAACGAACCGGCGGACGTACTCGAGGTAGTACGCGTACAATCCATGACCATACGCCTCGAGCTCGTCGACGTTGTCCATGCAACTGACCCAAGTGTAAAATATCTGTTCCATGGCCTCAAAATCCTGGAGGCTCAGATATTCGATGAATGGTTCACTTGAGCCAAAATGGACTTCGGTCGACCTGCCCTTTCCATTTCCCTTCGCTGGACAATCTCGCACAAGATGGTCGGTACTGTCGCACTCATGGCACTTAAGAACCTGGCCGTCTCTACCTCGCGGGTTTCCCCGCCTACCCTTGCCTTTTCCTGAGGTCTCTCTACGGCCCTTGCCGCGGCCCTTTCCCCCGAAGAATATCTCATCATATTGTTCATCTGAGAGCCTCTGGAGGAATGCCGTGATGCCTCGTCCGTTCAACCTCCGACGACCTCGTTTACCTTTACCTTTTCCCTTGGAGCTCCTCCGTATCCTCCTCCTAACGCGACGCACTGGTTTTCGTGTGAACCTCCTCCACCTCCGTTTAGCCTGTTGTAATAACCAAAACAAATGTTCAGCGCGCTGATTGTCATTATCCATATTCATAATATCTGACCAATCTAAAGCTTCATCACCGTCTGATGATATAGTATCTGTGTCGGTGCCGGAGTCGAAATCCTCGTCTCCCAAGTAGGTGGATGCACCGTCGGTTCGGGGGTTTGATTCACCCCATAGAGAACGGTGTGGTTGTGGTTCTCTAGAAGGAGGGCTGGTTGCCCAGCTTGGTTGTGATCGATCTCCTGCTAGTAGAGCAGTGGATTCTCCAGGATCATCGGCCCATATGCTTGAGGGCCCGTTCCCAGGCTGGGCTTCAGTGGTCAAGGTAGTGTAGAAATTTCCACTACCAGATCCCCTTCCCCTCCCAAACACAGATCCTATATTGCCAGGAGACCGTGCAGATAGGTGGCCTATCGAACGCATCCTCTCCAGCAACTCATCATACTGTTGTTGTGTTCGGGGCATTTGGTGATTGAGTGGCTGTAAGAGTTGCATGGCTCGCTGGTTGCCGACGCCTAAGGCGCGGAACTGGATCGTGGTTAGTAGTTGGAAATTGGGAAGGTCAAATCCCACCGACTGTGCCTCAAGTCGGGCCATTTCGAATCGGGTAAGGGTGACGTCGATTCGTTCTCCGTGAGGCACGTGGAAGTCGATGAGCTGTGTGCCGGAAGTGAGCTGGCGCTCATCTTCCAGGCGTTCGAACTTCATGCTTAGGAGGAACATGATGTAGGTCACTGGGTCGGTGTGGACCCCATCGATGTCAGCACCATAATTTATAATGTCAGGTGGTACCCTCATGGCGAGTGTCCTCGCTAGGCCACCTAGGCCGCGTTGTATGGCGGCCGCTTGGGCCTGTGGCGTCATACGTCCGCTTGTGACGTTGAGCCACGCGTTGGCCTCATAAACGTATTCGCGAAAAGGTACGTTGCCTTGAGGGCCCCAATGTGGGCCATGTGTTTGCCCATCGGTACTGTTGTCTCCACGACGCATGTGTCCGATTGCTGCCCCCAGCGCGAACCATATAATAGCGAAGCCAATCAGCCCAAGGCTATGTAGGTAAGGGTGGTTATTAGGCGCGTTGCCGCGCTGGGGTAGCGCCTTGTCAAGTCGTCGAGGCGCTCTATCTGGCGGATCTCTCCGCCCATGCTTCAGGTATTGCGCTTTTGGCTCGTTGCCGAGCGGTTGGTAGTAGCGCAATGATGAAGCGTATATGGTACCAATGTCGTTATCTAGACGTCGTACCTCTCGTGTTGCTTCTTGCTCTTGGATAGATCCTCGTAAACGCACTGGGAGTGGTAGCGCAGGGTGGTAGGTGGTCACGAAGATCGTGCCGAAGAGTATGAGGCTAAGAAGAGCAAGAGCTGACCACACGAGAGTGCGGCCAGCTCCGCTACCAAGTCGAAAGTGAGCCTGGTAACTCAAATAGCATCCGCTCCCATGGGGATCGAATGGCAGATAGCGTCCATTACCCTGCTGGGGTGGTTCAGTATGGGGAATGGACGGGTATGATAGGATAAGATCGATGTATCGGTCTTTCCAGCACATGGCGAACACTAAGGTAAGCGTCCGGGCAAATAGGGCGCGCGTGCCTTGAGCCCAATCCAACGGCGCGCGAGCTATGCTCCCGATACTATAGCATCTCCCAAGGAGCTACCCTTAAAGTCGCTGGGCCCCCACGAAGGTGCTGACAGTTGTGCAGGTGACAGCCCCTAAGCAGGAAAGGTAGGCCACGTGTGGCACTAGGGGGGAGGTAGAGAGGAATAGAAGGAGGAGGTCTGAGGAGGGAGACCGGAGGAAGGAATGAAGGACGGCGACCCGCGAGCAATGCTCCATTAAAACCGAGAACCCAACGCAGGAGGGTTGGGGATAAACAGTGATGCGATGCCGATATTTGCATTTCTATCGTGGGCGCTGCGTCGTCGACGTTGTCGCACGTGTTGCGGGATCGGGGTGCGGGGCCGCGCCAGCCTCCCCAGCCCCCTCCCTTCCCGCCTCATCCTCTCCCATGGCGTCCCATCCCCTACCCTGCCTCAACCTCCGACGGCCCCGACCGCCCGTTCACCATCTGGCCGAACACTCCGAGAAATCTCCAAGCTGTGCCGTCCACTCTTGGCCAGCGTGCTGTCACGAGCGCATCCTCTGGGTCAGAGAGTGGAGAACCACTCCCTCCTAACAGTGTCCTGGAGAGGCGCGGCATGCGAAGCAAGCATTAGGTCGGGCGTGTCCCCCTACAGGGGATTTTGGACGACAAAGAAAACATAGTCCAAAATGCTCAAACGTATTCAAAACATACTCAAAACATCGTCCCCATATTATTGTTTCGACTATTTTTGAATCTTCCCCCTGTAGAGGGACATGCCCGACTGAAAGCAAGCAGCAAGAGGCCGAGAACAAGGAAAGGGATAGGCGCACCGCCCGTCCACGCGCGCCTCCGAACCAAAATGCACCCCCTCGACAAAACCCCTGCTTGGAGTCTGCCTCCAGACCACTGCCACGCACCAGCCCGCCGAGCCCGGCCCGGCCCAGGCGTGGCGACGCCCCCCCGCCCCCCCCCCCCTCCTGGAGACAAAATGAGCAGCAGAAGCGGGAAGCGCGCACGCACAAAACTCGTCCTCCTTCTCCTCCTGCTCCTCCTCTTCTCCCTCCTCCCTCCCTCCTTGACCTCGTCTTCTGGCGATGTTCCAGCTGCTGCTGGCTCAGCAGGCGCTCTCGTGGATGGCCGAGCCGCGCCGAATCCTCACTTTTGAGCTGGGACCGACCGTCCCGGCATTCCTATAGGCCTACCACGACATGTTCGTAGAACCCCTAGGTGCTCCAATAACAAAAACAAGGTGCTTCGAACATGAGCCCGACGTGCCAAAACAAAACGGTCCAAGCCAGAAATGTTCTAGCCCTCGCCCTCCAGCCCTCGCCCTCGAGCCCTAGTCTGCTTGACACTTCCGACTACACGCAAGAGTGACCCTGGGTAAGAGTGACCTTTGGTGCGCGGCTTCTGGGGGGCCGCAGGGGACCAAACACGAGCGCGCAAGACGCTACTACCGCATCGCGTTCGGCGATCGGGAGACCCCATTGGGCCTGCACCAAAGGCCACTCCGGCGAAAGGTCACTCTTGCGTCTAGTCGATTCCAGCCCTCGCCGCCCTCGCCGCCTGCGCGCCGCCGGCCGGGGCGGCGGGGCGCCCTTCCGCCAGTCCGCCACGGCGGCGGCGAACGCGGCGCGCTCGGCCTCCTCCCTCTCGGCGGCGAGCCGCCGCGCCGCGGCCAGCGCCTCGTTCGAGTACCTTCGGGGCCGGCGGCCGACGCGGGTGCGGCCTGGGGGGGGGGGCGAGGCTGGCGAGGGCAGGCGGGGGGAATGCAAAATGGGGGGGGGGGGCTGCGGGAGCAGGGGGGCGACGGGATGGCCCCGGCTGGAGCAGGAGGTCGGTGGGGCGGCAGCGACACGGAGGGGGGGCGGGAGCAGCGGAGGGCATGGGGTGGGGCTGGATGATGTCGAGGACGGGATCGGACTGGAGGAGGCGGAAAACGCGACAGGCCGAGAGGGGGGGAGGGGATAGGAAAGGGAAGGAGAGTGGGGATACGGGGCGGGAGAACATGAGGAGAAGCAGAGGGGATTGCGAGAGGAGGGATCGGCGAATTCCCTATTCGATATGACGACTGGTGCGCCGACGAATCATCTTTGTTGGCTGGCGCACCACCATGGGCAACGAGGCGGTAGGGTAGGCTGAATCCCACCAGCCCTTTTGGCGCAAGAGCGTTTTCTCTTCCATCTTCCCTCCTCCCCTTCGGGGAGGGGTTCATCACTGTTCCCTATTGATAAACATTCCCTCCCTCAGGCGACCGGCAACCAACCAGGACCAATGAGAACACCCCCCGGGGTCATGCTCGTGGGCCCCGCGAACACCTTGTATGGTGTTTTGACCAGGACGGCAGGGGTGCCCTCTCATTGCCTGCTTTGCGCAAGGCCACCATCCCTGTCAACAAAACAATACAACATGCACTTCGTGGCCAAGTCTGGATCATGCGCGGCCACCCCGCGATCGCTGTGCGCGATGTTTGATAAGGACCGAGGAGGTGCTGGCATTTTGCTTGCTGTGTGCATGCGTACCAGACATCATGATGGCCTCCCCGCCGAGATTGTGCATTGGTTTTCGATATGTTTCTCGATGTTAGCTGTTACGTGCGCGGGTCCACCTGTAACACTCTGCGCGTGCCCCGGACGTGGCGCACCTGGCGCGGCTGGACCATGCGGCACGCATGGCGCACGTGGAGCACGTGGCGTACCTGGCACGCTTGGGCCTCAGGTGTGCCTGGCGCACCTGGAGCGCCTGGCACGCGTGGCGCACCTCGCCCCAGCGTCGTGCACATGGGGTCTGCGTTGTTTCCCAATTGCTGTCCATCCATAAACGACTGCTGAAGATGCTGAGGCTCGGGTGCTACTGATGTGTTGGGAGGGCGGGTGGGAGTGAGCGAGACAGCTTGCGGGCGGGGAAAGTACCCCTCTCCTACCCCCTCCCCCTGGGTCTGGATGAAGGGGGGCGCGAGGTTTCAGATCGTCCAAAAAGGCCTCGGCGAGGAAGCCCAAAATCATCTTATTTTATTCCAAATCTGGCCACGTTCTGGCCTCCTTGGGGGGGGGCATAGTTTAGTACGCCCGTCCGATGGTCCATTTTCTACGATGGCCAATCTAGCCACCGAGGCTCCCCAGGGTGCCCCAAGACTGCCCCAAAAGGTTCCCAGGAGGCACCCGAAAAGGCCCCAAAGATGCCCCCACGAGGCTCCCCAGAGACCCCCAAGAAGCCCCAAGAGGCCCCCAAGAGGTAGCCAAAACGCCCCAAGAGGCCTCGGCGAGAAGGTCAAGATTTTAGCAGGTTTTGGCAGCAGTTTGGCCTCTTGGGGGGGGGACCCTGGGTAATGAGCCCCCCTCCATTGATCAATCTCTTCCAAGATGCCCCCCGAGGCTCCCAAGGGTGCCCCAAGATGGCCCCAAGAGGTGCCCAGGAGGCGCCCCAAAGCCCCCACGATGCCCCCGAGGCTCCAAGAGGCCCCCCCGAGGCACCCAAGACGCCTCAAGAGGCCCCTGGGGCTGCCAAGAGATCCCCAAGGCGCCCCAAGAGGACTCCAAGAAACTCTCGAAAGAAATCCGAAGAGATTCCGAGAGGCATCCAAGAGGCCTCTGACCTTTCTGCTCGCCCTCCTCCTCCTCCTCCTCTTCCTCATCAGCCTGTTCCTCCTTCCTCCTCCTCTCTCCTCGCCCTCTCCCTACTCCTTCTCCTCCTCCTGCTCCTCCTCCGATTGCTCCTCCATCCTCCCCCTCTTGGAGTCCGACGCTTTACCCAGCCCTTTGTTCCAATGCATTCTCCGCCACATCCCTGATCGTGGCAACCCGTCTGGGCATCGTTTCTGGATGGCTTTGGTGGGGTTACTTTTTAGTCAGCTCAGGGCCCCGTAGACCCGGACACGCTAGACCCAGACACCCAATATCCCTCGAAACAATTTTTTCCAGACGGCGGCACGAACAAAATACTGCACTGCAGCATTTCCAGAATAAACCCGGACACAGGCCCCCAAAGCCTGCAAGACCCCCCTTAACCCGGACACACACCCGAATCCTGCAGTGCAGCAAACAAAAAATGCACGGGTGCTGAAAAACGTGACTTTGCAGGAAAGGATGTCGTTTCCTTTGTTTTCCGTGTCCTGGTTTATCTGTGTCCTGGTCTCTGGGGGCCTGATCATCGGCCGCGGGCGAGCGCGCCGGCGGCGTGTCAGGTCAAAGCGGGCTACGCAGAGACGAATTAGGC